AAATTTATATTTTATTCAAAAATAAAATCATTATTGCTTTCTTAAAAACACATAAAATCGTATTATAACATCTACAAAGACACATAATAAATAGAACATTAAAATCGAGATGTATCTCGTTGCATAATGCGAGTACTCTTCTAGTATATATAAAGCACGTAAAATAGTTATTGTTGAAATTTATTATGTACTACTTACTATGCATCATATACAAGTTTTGAAACTAAACACCTCCCTTGAAACTTCCACGTTCAAATATTAAAATCAAATTATTTTTAATTTTTATGTTACATTTGATATCTCTATAATTAGTTATATTAATTAACTTTATATCCTTTTTCATTTTCTATTTTACACTCTTATCATATTATCATACATAATCGTATATTAACTAAAATATATTAAAAACACATTTCATTTTTTACAAAATATATCATTATGATTGTCTCATAAGTACTTTTAGAATGAGCTCAATATTGAATATTTTTTGATTTAATCATATTATTAAATAACATAAATACGTAGTGAATTATTTTTAATTTTTTTTCATTTTATACCTTATAGTTATCGTATTTAATTTCTTTTATATTTCTTATTTTTTTCATTTCTATTTTGTACCCTTAATTTACAAATTTAAAGTTGTAGAACTCATAAATTTAAATCTCCACATACCAAGATAATATTAAGATCGAATATTTTTTTTATTTTTAAATTACAATTTATAGTCTTATAATTAGTTATATAATTTGTTCCAAATCACTTACTTTTTCATTTTCTATTTTACATTTTTATCATATTAAAATAAATAATCGTATATGACAACTGTTTTGTTTGTGGTAACCGTGAGATCTAATCTCAATCACAAATCAAAGGTTAAATTAGAAAATTAACAATTTTGATAATTTTAACTTAGAATATTGATTAAAGGCATTTTAGGGATTTTAAATATATCCTCTTTTATCTCTCATCTTTCCTCTCTCCGGCGAATCTTATTCGGCGAACCATATTCCGATGAACCTTACGTGAACACAAGATACACACTGTGTTACCTACAAACGATATTCATTGTGATACCCAGATATACATACAAGATGTACACTGTGATACTCTTTGTAAAACAATGAAAATAAAGAAAATACACACTATGATATATTTTATAAAACAAAGAAAATACATTATGATACACGTGAAACATTGTGAACCTGATCACTGTGATACACTTTGATTCACAAACGTCTTAAAAATTCGATGTATATTAGTTAATTGATATACTAGGTAACTAATTTCAATTAAATATTTTTTTTAAAAATTTAATTAAATATTTTAATTAATTGTCAAAAATAAAATTACTATATTATTCTTTTAGCTTATTTAAAAAAATATCATTAAATATCTTAAACGAATGGTTGACATCGAATCTCATTATTATCATAAACTAATTAGTTATCTCTTAAATGACACAATATACACGTGTATATTGACACATTGTTTTAGAAAAGTGAGAATAATTATTGATCATATTTTATTGGCATAAATTAGTGTTCTTGGACATACGCCAAATCGCCAATAAATCTCATTATCTCCCCCAGAATCTACTCCACATCTTTTAACTCTCCCACTCCCTCAATTTACAATCGGCGAAAAGGGTGAGGCTTTTAAGTGAATTCTACTTCGTACGTTCATCCTATCTATCTGTGCTCGTAATTTGACCAATCTGAATGTTTTGATGAACAGATTAAGCGGGTCGACCCAGATGGCAGAAGATCCAATCATCGCAACAGATAATTCTCTGTAAGTCTCGAGCTTTTATTCCAAACAATTTGTTCTTCTGGTTTTTCATGTCATGCTGAAAGTGACCTTATTTGGTATCTTTTAAACATTTTGATGGTATCATAGGTGCTCGATGAAATGCCCCACTCACTTTTTTGTTATCTTTTAAGAAAAATTAAATGTAAACTTTGACTGGATTTGCTTCTAAGTCTTGGGCAAATCGGAACTGAAGCAAACGGTAGCTGCAAGTTTCATTATTTCCATTTTCAAATTTCAAAGCGTTTGATTTTTAGTTGCAAACAAAAACCATTGTTTTCAAAAGAGAGGAAAAACAGCTAAATTTGGCATAAATGGTCATTTTGGACAAAAATGATGTCGGTTCTTTTTTTTGCATATATGTTCAGATCCTTCTTGAAAATAAGTTTTCTTTTCATTTTTGTTAAAAACGATGATCAAATTAATTGCTCAATCTTTCTTAAATTATTCGGTTCAGAAATCAGAATATAAGTTCTTTTCTAAACCAAACATTCTTTCTTAAATTATTCGGTTACGGCCGGTTAAAGGATTCATCAGGCCCGGGACCGGTTTTTGGCCATCACTACTACAGGGTGAAGATCACTTCTTACACTTCTCATCTTAACTCTCTTTGTTATCGGAACCCAACTTTATACAAAAAACACACACACATATCTATGTAAAAAAAGTTTTTGAACTAGGCCCGTAAAAGTGCAAAAACCGAATTTGTAAATTAAACGTGGGTCCACAAGTGTTCGAACACTTTTTTTTACACTTTGACCCCTCCATAAGTTGAAGAGTTGTCACTTGAGGAGGAAGTGACATTTTTAAAATATTGTGCGAGAAATGGCTAAAAGATGAAACCAAAGTCTGAAAATTACTATTTTAATTAATTTTCCTTTCTAATTTGATATGTACTTTTATAAAAAAAATCAACCAATAATCAAATCCAAAATACTTATGGTCTTTTATCAAACACTCACCGGGTCTCACTTACCTTACTACATAATAAAGATCGAGAATCTTATCTGATAAGAAGTATATAGGAAAAATTGAGAATTTTACGAGCTAAGTAAGGATAGTCACTCTTATCGATAATTACCAAGTGTTGGACAAAGCGTCTCGAAAAGTTGAATTTCACTTTGTGAATCTTGCACTTGTGTGTAATGTTTAAATCTATATTCAACATTCTACGATTGCATTCTTGGCTGATAAATGGCAGAAAAAAACTGGAACTAGAAAGATCAGATGACACGGTTAGCAGGTTCTTAGGAGGCTTAAACCACACCATAAGAAAACTCGTATTTCGGGTCATTTCTTCGGGTCCGATCCCACAACATATTGCCTTCATCCTTGACGGAAACCGAAGGTTCGCCAAGAAATGGAAGATGACTGAAGGCGCAGGCCACAAAGCCGGGTTTCTAGCACTCATGTCGGTCCTAAAATACTGCTACGAGATCGGAGTCAAGTACGTAACCGTCTACGCATTCAGCCTCGACAATTTCAATCGACGCCCGGATGAAGTCCAATACGTAATGGACTTGATGCAAGAAAAGATCGAAGGGTTTCTGAAAGAACTGAGCCTCGTCAACAAATATGGAGTTAGAGTCATGTTTATTGGCGATCTGAAACGATTATACGAGCCAGTTAGGGTTGCAGCCGAGAAGGCAATGGCAGCCACGGCTGGTAACACGAAAACGTATCTTTTGGTGTGCGTTGCGTATACTTCGTCCCACGAGATCCCGCGAGCCGTTTACGAATCGTGTGAAGAAAAGAACGGAGTGATGAATGAAAATGGAAGTGTTAATGGGGATGTTAATACTGGTAATGGCTCTGAGGTGGTGGTGAAAATGGTGGACATTGAGAAGCATATGTATATGGCGGTGGCACCTGATCCTGATATATTGGTTCGGAGCTCCGGCGAGACGCGGCTGAGCAACTTTCTGCTGTGGCAAACCACCAACTGTTTGTTGTATTCGCCGAAAGAGTTGTGGCCGGAGATGGGGTTTTGGCCGCTGGTTTCTTGTATCTTGGAGTTTCAGAAGAATTATAAGTATCTGGAGAAGAAGAAGAAGCAGGCTTAATTAATAATCATGACTTATTGAGATTAGTTTGTAATAACGGTGGTGTTGTCGATTAAGGACTTAATAATTCAGTAGTTGGAATATCATCATAATTGCATTTTTTTTTATTAATCTGGATATCCAACCCGCTATGCGAGTCGACTAATCCTAGGACGACCACCTGCTTTGCAGATAGCCTTAAATCATCGCATTTGAACACATGAGGATTTTTATTTCTATTTGGATTTGAACCTGAGACTTCCTGATACTTTTGAATTTTGGAACATAATTGCATAATTTGTGCTTCTATATACCCATTCCAAATTCTCACGTATTATTTTTATCCATTAATCATGTGAAAGTATATAATCAAATACAATGTGACATAATAATAATAATAAAAAAAGCAACATTTTTTTAAAAGGCAACAAAAAACTTTATTAAAGTGCCTTTGGTTTAGCGGTATCGTAGCCCTTGGCCTTCTAGGAGGTCAGAGATTCAAACCTCACCATATGTGAGGAGGGTGTGTGAGTTTATTTGTTGTATTTGCCGTATATAAATATTATATACTTCAAAAAAAAAAATCTTTCAATAAGATACAAAAAACAACCCAAAACTAGGGACTAGGCCCGGAACTAAAAGAGACGGGACAAAAACCACACCTAGAAAATGAACTACATGACGAAATCTTGACTTCTACGTCGTTACAACCAAGGCAAGTGGAAACGTTTAGCACGTTTGGAAATCCATTGGAATGAAAGGAATTCTGAGATCTTCTAAGATCATCTCCAACATATTTATTTATAATAGATAAAATAAAGTTTTTGTTTGGGTTCAAACTTCACCAAAGTTAAAGAGGGTGTGTGAGTTTATTTGTTGCATTTGCCGTATATAAATATTATATACTAAAAAAAGTTTTTGTTTTTTATTTTGTTCCAATAGATTATTTATATTGTTTTTCTAAAATAGAGAAAACTAGAAAAAAAATCAAGTTTAAAAAATATTTTAAAACTTGATATGCTGTGAAAGATTTTTTTTTTGTGATCATTTACACCAAATGTGATTGAGTTATTATATATATATATATATATATATATATATAGAGAGAGAGAGAGAGAGAGAGAGAGAGAGAGAGAGAGAGAAGTAAGTTATTATGTAATTTTTTACATTTGTATAATCAACACAACTCAATCTCAACTGTTCATTTAATTTGATGAATATGTGATTTCATAAATTTTTTGATTGTTTCATAATATAAAGTATTGATCATAATTAATAAACTCTAGTCATCTTCCATAAATATTTAAATCATAATAAATGAACTTTCATCATTTCAATATATATCTAAATTGATTGAGTTGCATTGGTTATACAAATGAACATGATTGCATTTGAAGTATACCCTATATATGTATATAGTGGCATAATCAAATGAAAACTAGATAGTTTGTGGTAACTGTGATGTCCAATATGAGCCAATTGTTTTAGATAATTAATGTTATTTACTAAAATAAAACAAAAGATAAATTAGTAAATTGTGTTGATTATTCAATTTATTTTAATTAGTTTAATATTCCAATTTACTTTAATTATTTTAATATATATATATATATATATATATATACACACACATACAGGGACACATAGGGACCAAATCCGATGGCCTTCTCCGGCACTCACCACCACTCCGGTGGCCTCCTCCGGTCATCTTCTCTGACCAAGATGTTGTTTCCAATGATCGACCATTAAACACCCGCCTATGAGCATTCCTAACAGCCATCCCCATCTTTGTCCCTGTGACCCCCTCACTACCTATCTCATTTCCTCCATTCCTGCCATGGTTGGTACGACAGTGGTACCACAATTGGTATCACAGTAGTCTCAAAGTTTACTTGGTGTGTTTTGAATATCACATTGTATGTATTTTGGATATCACATTGTGTATCTTAGTGTATTACATGGTGTTCGTCAGAGGCCAAAGCTAGGAAAGAGAGAGAGGAGAGATAAAAAATTTAAAATACCTAAAATGTCCTTTAATTATAATTTAAGTAAAATTACCAAAAATACTAGTTTCATAATTTATCCATTTATTTTTTGTTGTAATTGGATCTCACAGTTATCACAAACTAATCAATTCTATCTTGAATGTACCCCTATGTGTATGTGTGTGTATATATATATATATATATATATATATATATTAAATGTATTGAGATGATAAATTTATAATGAATATTGAAATCATTAAAATAAAGAATATGTTGAAATTAATATAATTTGTATAAATATTTTAACTTTTAATTCTCTACTTAAAAAAAAATTAGAAAATTTATCAGAATTTGCTCTAATATTTTTTTTTGATTAACTTGGATATCCAACTTGCTATACGAGCCGACTAATCTCAGAACGACTACTTGCTTTACAAGTAGCCTTAAGTCACCATATTTAAACCTTCGTGGCCAGAAATGATTTTTATTTTTTATTAGATTTGCTCTAATAATTTGAAATCATGATAGTAAGTCATTGTACTATATCATTTATTGAGGTGACTCAACGCTGGTAGTTGTCCTATAGCATTTATTTAGTTGAAAGTAACTTATATATTTTAATTTTCGGTGGATTAAATACACTATTAAAATTTACTTTTTTCATTGACCTAAATATTTAATTTGTTATGTGAGCCGATTAATTTCATATCATCCACCTATTTTATGGGTAGCTCAGAGTAATCGCGTTTGAATATCCGTGGACAAAATGATTTTTATTTATCATTGGATTCGAACCTGTGACCTCCAGACATTTTTGACTTTTGAAGTATAAGCTCAAACCAATCACGCATCCTTAAAATTATATATATATATATATATATATATCAACATTGAAATTTATTTTTTATATTTTCAATATATGATTTAAACAAAAGGTAAAAGCGTTGGGACCTAAATATGTGGGCACAAAACCATTATTTATTGGAATCACAGGTGAGAAAGTATACCAACAAACCAATCAATAAATATAAATGGTTTAATTGCAACAAGCCCCTAAGCTTTTTGACTTGTACGAAAATAACCCTCAAATTTCTAATCATTTCATCAAACCCAATATAATGTTGGTTGTTGGTTGACATTCATGACAAAAATGAGAACCCATCTCATCTATTAAAACTGTGTTTGATAAACTAGTTGATAATTGATAAATTAATTAATAACTTGAAGTAACCTGATGTCTAATCGAGTTGTAAAATTTTAAAACCGTAGGTATTTGGTTGATTTTGAGTTACTATTATTTGAACCCAACTCAACCTGATAAACCCGATATCCTTTTATTTCTTGGATTTAATATGATTGTTGAATTTTTATTAATATATACATTAAACAATTACACTATCACGTACGTTCTTCGTATACACATATTTTCAATCAATTCACATCATTCTTATATATGTTCGGTAAAAGTTTAACATAGAGAAAATTAACTAAATGTGATATACGTAAGAAATATGAATAAGTTGTATCAAATGATTGATGATGAAAAAGAAAATAGAGAGTAGAGAAATAACATATTAAATGTTAGAAGAATATTTTAGTGTATCAAAGTATCAATCCGAACAACCCGTACGGTTTGAGTTGGGTTGGGTTAAATTTTTTCAAACCGCAAGCATTGAGTTGAGTTGTTCAAATGTCTTCAATCCGATCAGCTCAACTCATGAGCACCCTAATGATAAGGACGCTTTATATGATGATATCATACTCTTTTTACATAAATAACACCCTAATAAGTTGGTCTTATATGTCTCATAATTGTCGGATATACGCCTCTCCATTTAACAGATTCTAAGCGCTGCCATATCTTTTATTTCATTTTTTCTGTATTAATTATACACGCTTTGTTTACTATAAATCTGATAATTGTTTTCATTTGTATCCAACAACGACAACATTTTTTTTATTTTGGATTATTTAAAAAATAAAATATTTTATTTTCAATAGAGAGTCTTATATCCAAGTTCACATATATTCATCAATACTCGCTGCAAGTTATTTGTGAGATTAGTAAGGTTGTGTAGAAAATCATCCAATCTAATTAGAACCGATCAATCATAATCGGATATCTAATTGTAATTGGATCAGATCAAATCTAAAATTTCAACATTCAAGTTGGATCAATCAATTTTTGGATGACAGTTCAAAATCCAATAAAACCGAATCGGTCCAATTCAATAACTTAACAAAAGATATGAATAATTGGTTAAAAGTTGTATTAAAATTTTGGAAGGATCTAATAAATAACAAATAGTAATATCCAATGGATGAAACCGATTCGATCCAATCATCCATTGAATTTGATTTGATCAGATGTCTAATGTTAATTGGGTTGGAGATGACTGGATTAAATCAGATCCACCTAAATTCATTGGATTTTAACCGATCTAAGATTTAACCATGGTCTATACATTTTACTATTTTGTGGTATTTTAGGTTTTTTTTTTAATTATTATTTTTACTAAAATATTTTACAAACAAATAATATTCTTTTTGAAAAAGTCATGATACGTGATAAAGATGCAACAACATTAGTCAACTTTGCTCCATTCAAGACAAGTTTTCTTTTGCTTTTTCTTTTCTTTTGAAGTCTTGGTCTTTCATTTTATATATATATATATATATATATATATATATATATATATATATATATATATAGGCTGGTTCAAATACTAATCAAGATTATTATTTTAACTTTGTTAACCGATCTTGGTCGTTGATTTGAACATCCAACGGTTGTTATTTATTGAGACTAAAAATTTAATTACTTAATTACCATATTAATAAAAAATTAGGTGCACAATGGTTCAGATGGTAGAATTGTAAAAAGTGAATGATCTTAACGTATCCTATTTTATCAGCCTATTCTGTAACTTCCAATCAATAAAGAAACCGTCAATCTCATCGATCAATATCTTAAATCAGTAGCTAAAAATTAGGTTCATAATCTTCATCAAAACAATAGAGGATTTGGAAGGATTACCAGGCAACGGCATCCAGATAAGATTGAAACATGTGTGTGAACCTAATGAACAATGTGTGAACCTAATGAACAATTGAAAAATTAGGTTCATAATCTTCATCAAAACAATGTATGAACCTAATGAACAATTGAAACATGTGTGTGAACCAAATGGACATATTGTGTGAACCAATTGAACACATATGTGCACGAGTGAACACATATGTCGATGTTTGAGTGAACATGTGCGTAAACGGTTTGATCATTTTCTTCACTTTCGGAATTTGAATTCCGAATGTATTCGTAGACGTTTTTAGCTTTTTCATTCTCATTGTCGTCGATTTGTTATACTCTATGATTATCCATATTACTCGGACTATAACGGAATCTTCACAAAATGGACTTTTTTGAAATTTACAATATCAAAACCATTTGTATATATATATATTTATATATGTATATATATATATATAGAGAGAGAGAGAGAGAGATATGTATGTATGTTTCATCGTACCATTGGCTTTCACATTTCCACTTGCAATGGCTTCCTTTATGCATTTATACTCATTTTTAGCCATCCTTCTCTTTGTCCTTCATCCACTTCAAGCCGCCACCACCAACCACCACCACCACCACCACCACCATCACCACCACCACCACGACGGACTCAAATCTCTCCACTTTTCACTCTTTCAACACGAAACCATAAACAAAACCGGTTACATCATCGTAAACGGAGTAGCAGGACCACCAGTTAGCCAAACAACTACTCCGTTTGGGACCCTGTTTGCCTTTCAGGATCCCTTGACTCTGAAACCAGACTACACTTCCAAGGTTGTTGGAACAGCCCAAGGAACCTCCATCACTTCAGGATTAGATGGGCTTCAAAGCATCTCCATCGCCAAGATCACTTTGAATGTGAAAAAGCACAAAGGGTCGATCTCCGTTGTTGGTGTTACACATAACACTAAACCTTCAAATCATCCCGTCGTAGGAGGCACCGGCGACTTTTTGTTCGTTCAAGGTTACGTGACATCATCTCCTGTCAACTTAGTAGGATTAACCGTTACTTACAAGATCGAGTTCCATCTTTACTGGCCTCCTTACGCACACCCTAAACCCTAAACCCTAAACCTTAAATCCTCCCCGCAACAAATTCTTAGAATTAGTTGTTGGTAGAATTTATTTTAGATATGGATTGCAATATCACCAATAAAGAAATTACGTGTTATTTCATGCTAAGTGCATAATTTATGATTTTTATTTTGTGGTTTATTTCATTTCGTATGTTATACGGTGAAATGAAAATGGTGTTATGTAGGGACGGACCTATTAATATCCGAACAGCTTCTGTGCATCTGATTATTGAATTAAGCATTTAAACGATGGACCCTGAATGGTTTAGATGCTTAAAAGTAGATACAATATTTTTCTTTGGATGGACCCTGGTAACCGTTCATTTGGATGGTATGCACATGTCCATACTGGTAATTGAAGTCATTTCTTAGTTTTTATGCACGTGTTCATGTTATGCACGTGTTCATGTTATGCACATGTGCGTACTAGACAAAGTGCTTAAAATTACCAGTATGCACATATGCATACTGGTTTTTCATTTTTTTTTTCCAGTTTTCCTCTAGATAAACACTAATTTGTAAACACTTGATTCACCTTAAGATGCATCCGCTCGGAAAAATTCATGAATCCGTCACCGGTATTACATGCTTTTATTTGTTTTGTGAAATAGAAATGGAGAAAGAAGAAATATTTTCAAAAAGAAAATCAATTACTTGGAAGAAAACTTTAATTCACAAAGTCAAAGAATAGACTTTTTACACGAGCGTTTTTATTTGAACATCTTTTAACTCACAACTTTTAAAATATATTAAAAAAAAACAATTAATGTTGATATAAACAAAAATCTTATAAAAATTCAATAAAATCACATCTTTTTTAATATGAATAAATGCAACGATTGGAACAAACCGAGGTACATTGTTACATACGACTTCTGATAATGAACTAAAATCATTCCACGTTACAAGCAAAGTAACTAACCCTGAGCCATTAATCAACGGGGAGGCTTGTGCAGACGGGGTCGATTACAGAAAACTCGACCATTGGCTCTCACGAATATTGCAATGCCTATACTAAGTCCGCCCCACAAAATAGAAAACAGTAACTGCCAAAGATCGTTCCGAACTGCATAAAAGATATGGACTTGATAAGTAAATCGATCAAGTCTTTGATGAACATGAAAAAAAAAGATTATATAATTTATATCTTAAGACTTTCTTTTTGAAGTATATAATATTTATATACGACTTTGGTGAGGTTTGAACCCTTGACCTCCTAGGAAACCAATGACTCACATACCACTAGACCAAAGTCCCTTTGGTTTCTATCTTGAGAGTTATAATGAACATTGCAACATTTTCTATTCAGAGAACCTTTCTAAGTTAAAACCAGATCAAAACAAGCTCAGTATATCCCATAGAGATACTGTTTCTGTGAAAACTCCCCCTTCATAAAGAATAGGCCATGGAGACACAAATCATTGCAGGTCCCATTCAATGGGACCGACAATGGATTGTGTGGTAAAAATCACCACCTTCATAAAAGAAGATTGTTGGTAAGCATCACCATCTCTAACAGGGTCGGTAAGCACTGACCCACCCTTACTTACCGGGTAAGATTCTTAGTCAACAAATGGTAACCATAAGATTGTTGATTAACACTGTCATCTTTGATCGGGTAAGGGTTTTTTACCTGGTAAGAGGCGGTAAAGGTGGTAGGGGTTTAGTAAACTGCCCCGAGTTTGTTAAGCTCATTAAGTCAAAATCAAACACCCATGGATCATGAATGTAACACTCTGCAAGAATAACTAGTGTTTCTTGGACAGCTTATACAACACAAACGAACACCAACTCACCTCGCGTAAGAGACACCATTGTGAAAAATAAACCCGTTGTGATCAGCGCTAAAGCAAGCGGTAAAGACTGCAAAAAGCAACACAATCATCATTCAGCTAAACAAATTAGGTTGGTAAAGCAGAGTTCCATAATCAAAACTTATAAGCAGGGTTGGTGTGGACTGTGGAGAATGAGAACAGAAAATCTGAAAAAACAAACAAACTAAACAAGCCCATATATCCCATCTGGAGGTGGGGTCAGGGGAGAAGACCTGACCTCCACCTCAAAGAGTAGAGCGGTTCAACTGTACTTACTGCAATGGCCTCAATCCCTCTTTTTGGTATCGTAGGAGCCATATCACGGGAGACGGAAACAATATAATGACCTTGAAGTAGATCAATCGAATCCTACACATGAAGAAAAAATAAACCTTAAATTATATTCATGTTAGTAGGAAACTGGTGTTGGGGAAATTTTCAAAATCATATAAATGTTTTATCTGTTTGGGGTTGAGCCTTAGAAGATAAGCACACGGACCTGCTTTGTACCATCAACGAAATTGTTAAGGTAATAGCGCATTAAGGCGTTCCAACCATCTTTAAGAATCCCTTGAAGAGTTCTCTTACCAAATCTGAAAGAATGTTTCAAATGTCTAAAACACACTACTTTGGCATTCGGAAAGAATGTTTCAAATGTCTAAAATACCCTTCAATGAAGACTCGATAAAAGAATCCAGTCGGCCCAAATCAATACCTTCAATCTATTGGTTAATGGGTAAATAGGTAATTTTAACCATGAAACATTCTAGGAAAGTACTGAAATTTTCATGGAGGATAGACTACCTTTTAAACTTCCTAACAGTTTACCTGACAAAATCTCCTTTTAAAGCAGGCGTGCCTGAATACTGGATGCTTATATCATCCCCGTGGTTAGCCCATACTGTTATTCAAGTATATTAACGTATGAAAATGTAAGAATGCACGACTGAAGAAATATCTATCAATCAGGAATGGTGTACGTACATATTTTGAAGCAGTCATCAATATTAGGATGTGCGCTAATGGTTTCTTCAGCATCAAAAACACCAAGCCTTTGAAGCTGGAATTCCAACATTTTTCGCCCAATCATGCTCTGCGCCAAGAGCATCGCGTTACTAGATTGAACATCAAATACTAAAAGCTAAAAAAGAACTAACGGGCATACAAAGTCGCAATTGTTTGCAAACCTTACAAACCAATCTCAACCGTCCATCTAGTCTAATGTATACCTGGTTCCGTGAATATTTTGATTGTTTCCTAATCTAAAGCATTGATCACAATGAAGGAACTATGATCATCTTCAATAAATATCCAGATCATAATAAATGAACCATTATCATTTCCATAAATATCTCAATTGTTTGGTTTGTATAGGAGGTTTGCAAATGATTAGGGACTCCAGGCATACAACCACTATAAGTTGTGCTTCAACCTTTTCATCCTTTTTCACTTGAGCTATAAACAAACAAAGGGTAGAAAAGTAAATATACTTGTGTCACATTCGTCCGGTCTAGACAATCAACACAATTCGTCCTCACGATTCCAACTTGTGCTTCAACCTTTTCACCCTTCTCGTTTAACAAATAGTACCTACCATTTGAAGAACAAATAAAGAGATTATGATAGAAAGAATGAAACACAGTTTGATGAATGGTACCAAAAAGTTTCAAACTCCCGCAGAACATATTTATTGTGGTATGAAGATAAAAGATACCTATTTTTGATCAAAAAATCTTCAATTTGTTCGTAGAGGATAGATAGGCGCTCAAAATGAACATGTCCACAAATGTGGTGGAAATCAAAGTGCAAGTATCTACACAAATCAGCCAATTTAGCATATAGCAGAGAATATATATATATATATATACACAAAAACTTAAATAAGATCATAAAGGATTGTACCTCACATCATCATTAAGAATATCTTGAACTGAAGTGGCAAACTGTTCAGTCAACCGTCCCTCGCCACCATGCTAAAAAATAAAAAATGAAGAACTAAATTAACCACATTCTTGCATGATAAGTTGCAAAACAACAACATATTGTTATCATCAGTGAAAGATCGTGATATGAGAATACTATATATACCGTATTGACAAGATCAACAGCTAAAACATTTCCATATTTCTTCCTTAAATCCAGAAAATGTCGTTCAGCAACTCGAGGCTGCAGAAATGATCATAGAAGACTGTCAGCTAGCTGAGAAATAGAAGCACATCAAGAATACTTGAAAAGTGCTGAAAGAGTTAAGCATGGTGAACACACCGCTTCCTCAGGTCTCAAAATATCGAACTTTGGCTTGTATGTCAAATCAACAATTTGTTCCCATAGAAAGGGCATCGAACCTCGGACCTACAAAACCAGCAATGGTATTTGTAGTGCTGTCATCCATCTAAAAGGGGTAGGAAATCCTTGTGATGTATCAAAAATAATTTGGGCCACTGGTGAAGCAAATATCCAGAAGTACCATGTGGGGGTGTTAAAAAGATGAAACACTTTTATAGAATCTAAGGGCCTGTTTGTTAGCAGCTTAATAAGCTTAATGTGACTCACAAGTTATTTGATAAGCTAGACATGACTGTTTAGTAATGACTTAATGATAGAGAGGATGGCTTATCAGTAAGCTTCAGGGGGAGTTTATGCAGAAAGCCAATTTATTTCTCCAAACGTGCCCCTCCCAACTAAAAGCATGCTCCTTCCATCTATGAAAAAACCCTCCCAATCCATATAGACAAATTATTGAATGAATCCACCCACACAAACAACTTTATTTATACAGGACTTAATGAAAAACCAACCAAACATCCCTTAAGCGTGTTTCTTGAAAGGATTGTTGATAAAAACATCAAATACATCCATTATAAGAGAAAACAACGTATATGAAAGTAAACCTGCACAAACGATGCAATAAACCCTTTTAACTGTATAATTTGTTCACTTTCCACAAAATTTGCTACATAACCATCAGAATCAGCTCCTCTTCTCCACAGCCGAGTCCCTGACAAAAGATCAAACTAAGCAGTCAGGTGAAACTTATAGCAATTATATAACGATTGAATGGATGCAGTGAAATTATTGAAACAACCCAACTAAGTTTATGATCCATAATGTCAGTTGCTAATAATACAAACCAAAAAGTGACTATAAGATAGAACCATACCTGTTCTCCTAGTGCACCTCCGTGCAATCAGGGTGACGTCTATAATATCTAAACCAATGGCGGACTGAAAGCTTTGGAAAGCTAGTAATAAGTTAGGATAAAAGAAAAAGAATGGTGGAGGATTCACTCATGGTTATGCACAAGCTGAAGCTGATCAACCAAATGAGATGCATCCATTATAGAGCAATAAATTGCAAAATCATTTTAAGGACAAAAAGGATACACCCTTGAATAACAGGAAGCATGTAAGGATCAAGCTGCAAGCACAGAGAGTTGTTATTCACATGTGAATCAAGTAGATAGAGAGGTGCTCGAAATCTACTGAAAAGACAAACCTTGTTATCTATGAAAACTTCCAACATATAGTTGTTCCATAGGAACCGCGGCTCTGCCTATGCAAGGAAACTCCAAGCATGTTAAAGATACATTAAGAGAAAGTGAAAATGGCCCATCATATGTTGAAAATTGTCCTTTTTATTTCAATATACATAGGCAAATAAATGTTAGGCCTTGGGCTCCTCCCCATTGGTAGCCAGTTCAAGTCTCCAGAGAGCCACTGGCGATTTAATGATTGTTATCTTCTGGGTCCCATGGGATTAGTAGCCTTGAGATGAGAAACCGACTCAAGCTTAGATACAAGTACAAACACATCAAAGACATTTAATTGGAGAAACACTCACCTGTCTCCAGAGAGGAAGCAACTTTGATTCATCACCCAATTCGTTCAAACGCTGGACTCTACAAGATGAAACCGCCAAAAACACAATTTTCACTACCATTGTAACCAAAAACTTGATGATGGGGATTGGCTGATTTCTAAAAAGTTAAATCTAGAGAAGGTAAGGACCTCAATGTTATATTGACATCATATGAAAAATAGAGACCAGTAGTTTTCTCTGCCACTTTTAAAAGATTAGAAAATTCGGACTCCATTCTTTTCTGCCAGAAATGGGAAGCGTTAGACAAGTGTATATATCACGGGTAACAACAGAAGCAAAAAGAGTAACCTACAGTAGTTTTTTCACCTGTTCTTCAGGAGAATTTTTCAAGGAATGATCACAAGGGAAGACTTTTAGTGTCAAAACTTTGAAGATGGGATGCCCCAAGTAAGTTCCAACAGATTCACGTTCCGTAATAACTAATAAGTATGATCCTGAAAGCATAGAAAAACAGTTCAAGAATCACAAAATCTACCAATAAATGAGCATATACAAAGTGCAAAATCGGCTCCAAAACACATTTCTTTCCTCCATGTTTTCATTTCTTCATCAAGATTCTCATTTGCTGTTGGAAGAAGTGTGAAGCAAAGGGGAAACTAGTAATCTCCAGGTATGGATTTTTAGGAATCATTAAAAACCCTTAACTCCATAAATACCAATCAAACTATAGCTGAGTTATCAACTGTTCTACAAAACTATCAAACCACATAATTAAAATTGATTCAAAGCATTTGCAGTGATCATAATCTGACCTGCCAATAGTTTTAGCATCCCAATAACACCAAAAACAGTCTGAATTTTGGGAACTCGAGGAGTGGTAAACCGCGGAACTTCATCTACATGAACAAAAGATTACATTCACCAACTACTATATCCAATTATGAAAACGGCCGATCAAGTGACAACCACCACCATTCTGGTCATCAAATCATGTGGACGGCCATAATCACGGTTAACCCCATCTACTACATTTGGGATATTAGGTGTTGATTACACTAATCAAGAATCAACAAAAATTTGCAAACTAAATAACGAGATCAAGAACAAACCAACGAGAGTCATTGAACCATTAACACGACTGACAGCTAAACAAGAACCAGAAGAACCATCAGTAGGTTCCACAATGTATTGATCAGGAAACTCCCATAACCTCATACGCGTATAGAGTTTCTGGGAAGGAAGGGCTTTCACCATCATTGTTCTTGATTGTTTTCTTTTGCTACGATTCTTGATTGATTTGGGTTTTTTCTTGATTGTTTTCTTTTGCTACGATTCTTGATTGATTTGGGTTTTTTCTTGATTTTTAACAGAAACACAAAAAGGGGTTAGATTAGAGTGAAGAAGAGCGGAAAATAAAACCATATCAATGGAAACGCGCCAATCTCGGAGAACTTGTATGGATTTTATTTACAATAATTGTCCCTATACTATGTTATAATTACACACTACTCCCTTGTATTTTACATAAATTTAATTTCTATAAAACCCAATCCAAAATGGATTTTCGTAAATAAATCGAATACATTTAAATAAAAGAATGGGAAAGACAGAAAATTAATCGTTTAAAAAATATAACGAATAATCAAAAAATGTTATGAGAAACACGAATAAAAGAAAATTTCATAATGGAGGTAATTAGTGTAATTATAGCATAGTACAGGGGGTTATTGTAAATAAAAAAATCCATACAGACATGCGAACTCACACCGAGATCGGCTGTTACATTCATTCCGATTTCTGAAAGAAAACTGTAATCGAGTCCAATCAACAACTATGAAGAAGGTCGATCCTTCCCATAAACTGTATAGGCGAATGAGGTTATGGGAGTTTCCCGATCGATATATTGTGCAACCCATTGATGGTTCTTCTGGTTCTTGGTTAGCCGTGAGTCGTGATGATGGCTCCACGACTCTTGTCGGTTTGTTAACCATCTTTGTATTTTGGTTTGCTAATTTTCATTGATATTTGATAGTCTAACAATCATCCATGCTGAATATAGCCGATGGTGTAATGTTTATGTTTGGATGATAGTTGATGAATGTGATCTGTTGTTCATGTAGATGAGTTTGCGCAGTGTGCCAAGCATTTTGTTCCCAAATTTCAGCCAATTTTCGGTGTTATTGGGATGCTAAAGCTATTGGCAGGTTAGATGATGATTACTTTGCTAATGCTTTGAATCAAATGATTCTTATGAATTGATACTTGGAGAAAAAGAGAATTCTGATGAACAAACAAAAAAAAACAAAGAGGGAAGAAATACTTATTGGAGTTGAATGTTGATGCTGATCATATGCTGTTCTAATGGTGGTTTTTCATGACTCTTGAACTATGTTTTCTATGGTTGTAGGATCATATTTATTAGTTATTAGTGAACGTAAAACCGTTGGAACTTACTTGGGGCATCACATCTTCAAAGTTGTGTCACTCAAAGTCCTCCCTTGTGATCAATCCTCAAGAAATTCTTCTAAGCAAGAGGTGAAACTACTGTAGGTTACTGTATTTGCTTTTGCATGTTTGTTAACAGTTTTGGTTAATGTATGCAATCGTCTAACGCCTCCCATTTCTGGCAGAAAAAAATGGAGTCTGAATTTTCTAATCTCTTAAAAGTTACAGAGAAGACTCCCGGCCTCTATTTTTCATATGATGTCAATATAACACTAAGGTCCTTATCTTTGCTAGATTTTACGCATTAGATCAGCCATTAATTCCCCTAATCAGGAGAACTTGCTATCAAGTTTTTGGTCACAAAATTGTTTTTGCTGGTTCATTTTGCAGTACCCAATGTTTGAATGAATTGGATGATGAATCAAAGTTGCTTCCACTCTGGAGACAAGTAAGTGTCTGAATGATGTCTTTGATGTGCTTATACTTGTATGTAAAGCTCGAATCCATTTCTCAGGGTTATATGTATTTGTATATATCAAGAATTACCATCTTTGAGCATTTGATATGCGATTTTGACTCACTTAACGAACTTTAACACACCTGAGAGTTTCCTAGCATAGGCAGATTCAAGGTTTCTATGGAACACCTATTTGTTGGAAGCTTTCGTAGATAAGAAGGTATGTTTTTTTAGTAAATTTTGAGCACCTCTATGTTCATTAGTTCCTTTTTGAACATCTGAGTAATTTGTCATTATGTGCTTGCAGCTTGATCCTTACATGCTTCCTATTATTCAAGGGTGTATCCTTTTGGTCACTATCATTTGTTTTAGCAACTTATTGCTCTATTGCATCTCATTTGGTTGATCAGCTTCATCTTGTGCATAACTAGGAGTGCATTCTCCATCAATTCACTTTTCCTCAATTTATTAATTACTAGCTTTCCAAAGCTTTCAGTCGACCATTGGTTTAGATATTATAGATGTCATCCTGATTGCACGGAGGTGCACTAGGAAAAAAGGTATGATTCTATCTTATACTCACTTTTGGTTTAATTGGATCATCACCTGTATTAATCCTTATTAGCAACTGACATTATGGATCATAAACTTAGTTGGGTTGTGTCAATAATTTCACTGCATCAATCCAATTGTTAAATAATTGATATAAGTTTCACATGACTGCTTTGTTTGACCTATGGTCAGGGACTCGGCTGTGGAGAAGAGGAGCTGATTCTGATGGTTATGTAGCAAATTTTGTGGAAAGTGAACAAATCATACAGTTAAAAGGGTGTACCTCGTCATTTGTGCAGGTTTACTCACCATTTTCCTCTTATAATGAATGTATTTGCTGTTTTTATCAACAGTTCTTCTCAAGAAATGCAATTAGATTCTAAAAAATGTGTTTGACATATGAAATGCTATATATTTCATATTGCAACATACTATTGTTGGTTGTGTAGGTCCGAGGGTCGATACCCTTTCTTTGGGAACAAAGGGTTGGTTTGACATTGAAGTCTAAGTTCAAAATTTTGAGACATGAGGAAGCGGTCAGTGCACCATGCTTAACTCTTTCTCCGTCTTTCATCTACCTCACAGCTAGTCTTATACCTTGTTCTGCAGGCTCAAGTTGCTGAACGCCATTTTCTGGGTTTAAGGAAGAAATATGGAAATGTTTTAGCTATTGATCTTGTTAGCAAGGTATATACAGTTTTCTCATCTCATGATTTTTTGTTGAGAATCTGGTTTCATGTTTACAGTCACTTGGATAGTTCTTGGATTATGTATATGTTGAAATGAGATAATCCAAGAAGTCATTCTTGTTCTTAAGGCAAAAACTCACCCTAGATAAAGCGTTTTATATATATAAGTGAGATATCGACGGTTATGGGGAAGTTAGGCAGTTAATAGATAATTGTACAACAGTTATAATTGCTTGTGGATAAGGTTGAAATGATTAAGAAGCTCTGAGTGAGAAGCTTCTGAGTCCATACTTAGTCTCCAAAATGAACCAAGTATCTACCCTTCTGAATTTCACTCAGAATGTTCACAAACTCAAATTTACCAAGTAATCCTCTTCATAAAATCCGTAGAGGTTTCAGGTGCTGCCCCAAACCCAGCAAGGGCGGCCCCCTCTACCCCGCCTGCTAAACGGACTGCCCCTTGGACCCCTGTTGGGGTAAGGTGATAGGGGCAACATTTGTAAGTGTGCACTCCACACCTCCTAACTCACGTTCTAATTATTCTATCACCTAGTCAATCCCTAGTAAATCATAATTACATCAAAATGCTTGATGATGCTAAAATCACCAACATTTTTTTACAACAGAAATACAAGCAATCATGCAAGAATCACGTATTTCTTTTTGTTTTTTAGCATGGTGACGAGGGAAAGTTAAGTGAAAAGTTTGCCACCTCAGTGCAGAATATTGTTAGTGATGATATGAGGTACAACTCTATCTATTTTCCAGTTTCTTATATGATTAATCGGCTAACTTGTGTAGATACTTGCACTTCGACTTCCATGGCATTTGTGGACATGTTCATTTTGAGCGCCTATCTATGCTTTATGCAGAAATTAAGGATTTTCTGCATAAAAATAGGTATCTTTCATCTTCATACCCAATAAGTATTCATAAAACTGTATCTCATTCTTCCCATATAATATAGAATCCTTGTAATGTGTTTTTAAATGGTATCTAGTTGCTATATGTTAAGCGAAAAGGGTGAAAAGGTTGAAAGACAAGTTGGAATTGTGCGCACAAATTCTATTGATTGTCTAGACCGTACGAATGTGACACAGGTATGTATGTATATATATATAGGGGAAGATTCAATTGCAAACTTAAGTTCTGTTGTGGTCAGAGCGCCATGTGTTTCTAGACATTCATGGGATATTCATCATGAATGGTGTAAAACATTCACATTCATTATTCATGATGAATGGGAACAAATGAGGACATGTGTCTGCTTTCTCCTTTGTCCCCCGGTTCACAACAGAAAACAAGTTTGCAACTGAACTTTCCTCTCTCTCTATATATAACACTTTAATTTCTGTCTTTTAATCCATACATTTGTTTTTGGTGTTCAATCTAGTAACTCTATGCTGTTGGTGCAGAGCATGATTGGACGAAAAATGTTGGAATTCCAACTTGAAAGGCTTGGTGTTGTGGAGTTTACCACACAACCTGATTTTGAAGACTGCTTCAAAACAAGTACTGATGCTAATTGGGCTTTCTTTATAACCTCCTTCCTGTTAAATATCTATGTTTTCTTATAAGGATTTTTCAATCTTTTTGGAGGCCAGTTACACCTAAAACTTTTGATTACACTACAGAATGAGGTAAACAAAGATACATATATACAATTTACAAAGAGGCACCAAGGGTATTACCCTTGTTTTCTTTTTGGAGGCATATTACTTTTGTTTTCTGATAGAAATTAGAGAGGCACTGAGGGCGGGCTATAGTTTTTAAATTCGTTGATGAAAGATCCTAAACAATCTACAATTAGGCCCCAAAATTTTGGGGGTCCTATTCAAAATCACATTTACCATGCTAACAAACAACCTTGTTTACTTACGTGTTATATAACAGTTTGGGCTAATCACGGGGATGATATAAGCATCCATTATTCGGGCACGCCTGCTTTGAAAGGAGATTTTGTCAGGTAAACTTTATACAAGACTTTTAATATGTGCATTCCGCTCTTTATCTCTCTTTATTGAAGGGTATTTTTTGACATTTTGTCCGTCTTTATTGAAGGGTATTTTAGACATTTTATCGTCTATATTGAAGGGTATTTTAGACAAGCCTGAATCTGTTTGGTCTTGATTTTCAGATTTGGTAAGAGGACTGTTCAGGGGATTCTTAAAGATGGCTGGAATGCCTTAATCTCCTATTACCTCAACAATCTTGTTGATAATACAAAACACGTCAGCATGCTTATCTCTTAATTAATCTTACTTACGAAAGAAAATCTCTTGTCCCAAAATTTCTCAACCCTTTTCCTATCCACCAATCAGCTGAATACATATCATCATAGACAAAAGATAAACATAAAGCTATATTAAATAAAATAATGATGTGTCTTTACATGATTGGTAGGACAGTGAGTGACATTGAATTTTGGGACAATAAGTTTTGTTCCTTACTTACTACCCATCACATCTTGTACTAATATCCCTCCCCACAACAACTAATAATGATCTCAGGTTCTTACGAGTTCTAGTCCTCTATTTACATCAAATTACCTGAACTTTTCTAATTTTTCCATTTACCATTAATCTTCGTACACGTGTAGGATTATATTGATCTAATTAATCCCGTCTCCCGTACATCAAAACGATGGATTAAGGCCATTGCGGTAAGTATAATCTCGACTACAACTTTTCTAATTAATTTGTTTTCCTTGGACGACGATATGTTGCACTTTGTTTTCGCAGTCTTTTCGGCTTGTTTTAGCAGTCATCACAATGGTTTTCTTGTTCACAATGTGGATGCTGATGTGAGGTTAGTTTCCTGAGTCTTTTACTGATCATTTGTATGAATTATTTGCATGGAAGCAGAGGGAGTACAATTTTCTGTTCAATTGACAGATACAGGGATGTATCTATTTATTGAGCCTATATCTTTGCATGCAGTTAGGCATTTTGGTTTATTCATGAGGAGGGGAGGGGTGGCAATTTTGTATCAAATCTGTCAAATTGGTATCGATTACAGTTGGCTGGTAGTAATGTATACAGTATTGGAAGTCGTGTACTATGGTACCGACTATCGACTTTTAAATTATTTATTAGTTTTTGTGTTTCTTTACGTATTGAATACTAAAACATTGTAACTTTAACTATTTTGTTTAAACATTTGAGTGTCCCTGATCAAATATCATGTGTGTTACCTGAAAACTTTGAAATGTTAAACCTTGTGAGGTTAGCTCAACTAGCAATAAAGCTTGGGCCTTTGGGGATTCTCCTTAGAGGTTACCGGTTTGAGTCATGCAAGGCCATTGGGGATTAACGGAATCTGTTCTCTAGGGCCTTAGGATTAGTCGAGGTTACCGCATATTTTGTATATTTTTAATTTTATATAACACACACACATATATATATATATATATATATAGAGAGAGAGAGAGAGAGAGAGAAAAAATTATTTTCTATGTAATATTTTTGGACTTTAAAGTCGATCCAACATGGCAATTGACAATATTAATAAATTAGTTAGACATGTCACAACTCACGCATCCACTTTAGTATGAAGTTAATCTAATTTTACTTCTCAGACTGTTTTTAATTATGTAACATGTATTTGGAAATCAGATGTATTGAAACTCTATATTTTTTTGGACTACAGTCACTTTATCGTTGGTTTTATAATGTATTTTTAAATTTATAATTATTGGATTGTAGGCATAAAGTGCGATAGATACAAAACATATAAACCGCACCGCACCACATTTTGCAGTGCGGTTTGAGGCTTATGCGATGCAGTTTGGGAATATGAGGCACCAAATCGCACCGGGAACACCCCTAGTTGCTAGTATTATCGGAGACCCTATGTGATGCCTCCATTGTCGATAATGATATGATAATGCTTTGATAGATCGAATGTTTCTTATGATGTGATTTTGCTGTGATAATAACTTGATAATTATTGATTTTGCTTGTGATAATCGAAAACTAGTGATGATCACGTCCACAAGTCTTGCTCTGTCTGCTCATCATGTGATTTTATTGTGATAATGTTTAATACATTATGATCAATGTGTATATTTTTTCTACATAATTTTAGAGATAATGAAGTCACCAAAATTGCAGATAAAACGAAATCACATAATTATCTTTAATTATTTACTTTATATTCTTTTAATTTTAACTATGGGTTAAATAATTTGGAGGCTCAGAAATATTCTCACATTTTTTGTAGAGGATTGGGTTCTGGTTAGAATAAAAGAGGATCTCCACCCTTGGAACAATCCTAATTGAAGATCAACATTAATGAGATGCATCAGATCAATTCTCGTATCAAGAACAATTCATGAGATGGGGTGAGATTAAAAGTAATCAACGATCCAGATCCCTTTTACACTTCTCATCTTAACTCATATTCTCACTAGATCAACACTAATGACATCCAATAGATCAAGTCCTTCTAAAGTGCAATTCATAGGTCTTTGAGATTAAAAGTGATCAAGGATCCAAATCCCGTTTTAGACTTTTCATTCTAACTCCTATTCTCACACGATACTTCATCTATATCTATACTACATTAATAAGCATTTAAAGTCTTAATTACAAGTCTTAAAGCATAAACTATTATCACTTTATGCAAGAGATTCAAAAATCTCTTAAGTACAAACTATTATGTATCACGTACAAATGCTTAAAACATACCATTTGTTTGGTCAAAGTTTCAGATTTAATTAAGCCATATTTACATGAAAAAGATATGTTTGTTCTTTCCAAAGTTGTTTGACACTTTGTTTGTTTTATATTTTGAACCCAAATTCAAATTCAAAGTTCTTCTATTTTCTTGAAGTAAACTGAAATTTGACACAACAATATCATAAAGGGTTTCAGATCATTCATGTACCCCTCCCCAACCCTTCAACTTTATATGGGTTTAGAAACTCAACATGTGTGCAATTATTTTTCCAATCGATCTCGCTAATACACTATATTAACCTTCAACTTTATATATTAGTTGACTTGTAAAATAACCACACAAACTCATGATTCAAGGCTAAACTAATGTTTCAGAATTGTAATCCACTCGCGCTGCATCGCGCGGGTACACCACTAGTATATATGTACACAGATTAAGAATATACAAAAACAAAATTTAAGTCTAATAATTGTTTTAAAAACGTTATCTATTCTGATCTAAAAACGGATTGATAATCACCTACGTGATGGTGGTGGTTGTGAGGCGTAGAACAAACTTTAAGAGGCCGTATGAGATCTATATCTCGTTCTATCTTACAAGGTGGTTGTTTTTCCACTTTCGAGTTAGAATGCTACAACCGTCGTGCAACACTTAACATTTTTCTCTAGAATGTCGTTTATCATATATCTAACGATATTGTAAACTATCTGATCGAGTATTACTTCGATGTAAAACCTGTGGATGTTTGTGATATTTGATCTTATGGAGGGATGAAGTTATAGAATACATAGGTTGACTTGTATAGTTTTCTATCTAGACAGAGTGATCAACCTATTAAATATTCTCTAACCCTGTAATATAGACGGATCCAGAAAATGTGCAACTGGAACCACAAAATAACGAGCATGAAATAAAATAAAATAACGTTAAAAAATACGATTTGTTAAAAATGACTAGAAGGGTACTCGTGCAATACAACGAGACATATCTCGGTTCTAATGTTTCGTTTTTTTGTCTCTGTCGATATTATAATATGAATTTAGGTAGTTTTGAGCAAGCAATAATATTTTTTTTTAAATATAAATTTGAAGATATCATAAAAATTAAAAATATATAAAAGTTCTCATTTTTTTTTTTTTTGTAATTTCTTTAATTCAAATTTTTTGTTATAATTTAATTTAGGTTTAATGACGAAGTAATTTGTTTTTGGTTTAATAATATAGTTTTTATAAATATAATAACTAAGTATTCTGTTATAAGTCAATAATTATCCTAATTATATTTTAGATATATTTAAAATAAGAATTTCTATTTATTCTGAATTTGATTATATTTATCTATAGTTAGTTACACGAATTTAAATATGAAGCATAATAAGTTGTCTCTATACATAATTTACTTGTAATCTTAAATTTTAAGTAATATGCATCAATAAGCAGTAGTTTTTTATGTATAACCGAACGGTTTTTAAGAGTTTTTGTCAAATACTTTATAATATAGTATAGATAAACAAATGTTTTTTTGTGATTTATAGTGACACGCATTGAATCACAGCGGATGCATCTTTAAAACTGGGGTCATTCAAAATAAGCCGTTGAATTTATTCTAATTGTAATTTGGGGTCATTTATCAAATGCTTATCATGTAAACGTTTATCGGATATCACTTACCTTATCGGGTGACATGACAAGGATAGAGAATCGCACCCAGTAAGAGGTATAACAAGGTTCGAGAATCTTACCCAATAAATTAGGGAGAAGACTCTTATGAGGTAAAAGATGCTTACAACAGTCTTTTTTTAGGGCCGAGATTCTTCTCCAATAAAATAAAGGTGATAACTCTTGTCAGGAAACACTTATCTGGTAAATGTTTGATAAAACCCTATATTACAATTAGAATAATTCAGTTGAGTGGATTTTGATCGTAAATTAAGGGATTGTTTACTAAACGTTTACCGGATAAACATTTATCGATATCACTTACCTTACCGATTGAGCATAACAAAGACCAAAAACCTTACTCGGTAAAAGGCATAACAAGGACCAAGAGTAATACCCGGTATGCGAGGGAGACTCTTACCCGGTAAGCGCTTACCGGGTTTAAGACACTTGCCTACAATCCATTTTAACGGCCAAAAATGTTACATGATATGATAAATATAATTAATTTCTCTCGACCGGTAAATGCTTACTCGATAAACATTTGATAAAAGGCCCTAGATTTCACTTATACTTGTAAAAAAAGGCGTGAGGACCGTACAATCACAATGTTTCGGACTTTTGGTTTGGAATCAAAACAAATAAAAAACCAAACGTCCGATTTTGATTCTTGGTTCAGTTTCGATCTCATAACAAGGTCTTGTTTGACTTCCGAAATAATAGTTCTTGGTTAAATTTAGATCAATAACGATACGGGTTTTCTTGTACGAATGGCGTTATTGGAACACAATGGCGTTCTTTGACCGGCTCCCTTCCCATTTTGATTTAGCTTTCGATTTTCATCTTCTATCTTATCTTTGATTAGCAAATCACGCCAAAAGCTCTATCCCAGACTGATTGGTGCTACAGACCCCTCGGTTCCTCTGAAAGTTAGTTGATCTCTCGTTATGGTTTGGTCTTCTATTTGGATCTTAACCGTCTTTTCGGGTCATTAGATTGCATCAAGACTTAGCTTGTGAAAGGTGGGGGAAGAAAGAAAGTTGCCTCAAAGTTTGAGGAAATCTAAAAAAACAAATACAAGAAAACATACCCAAGGTATGGAAACTACACAACCCCAGTCTAAGGATTCGTTTACTAAACATTTACCTTGGTAAGCACTTAGCGGTTCAATTACCTCAACGGACCCGATAAAAGGGAAGACAAAAATCAAAAGTCTTACACGGCAAGTGAGGGTGATGACTCTTCTGGGGTTATAAACGCTTACCATCAATCCATATTGATGGCAAAGAATGTTACCTCATAAGATAAATGAAAATTGTGACTCTTGCAAGCAAATACTTACCCAGTAAGCGTTTGATAAACAGCCCCTAACTTAGGTTACCTATCTTACCCACCCTTTACCCATTTAGCTCCCTTCCTCTCAAGTCCTACCTATGTTAGCACCCCTAGTCTACTCCTCTAATCTTGCATCTCCAAAAACCCATATCAAATGTTATGTTCTCGAAAATGCCTAAAACTGTCATATCCAACCTCGGTCGTTCATCTCACGTCCTCATCGTACCCCTCACCCTCATTCCCTAGACTGTTGTCACTGGAGCCGCCATTTGTCTCCTACAAACATGACCAAACCACCACAATCTTTCCTCTCTCCATTTCCAACATTACCCAAAATACCTCATCCGATATCTCGTCAAACATGGTCGAACCACAGTCTATCTAAATATTCCCATTTCTACAACTTCCTCCGATCTTCCTCGTCACTCGACACTTTGGCCCATGATGGTAAGACTGCTAGCTGCCATATTTTAGCAAGATCTCGTCACACAGCAAGTTTGCAACAACCCTCCGCTTTAACTACCGGGTCTTAATACAATATGATATGTCGTCATGCCCGGCCTCACTCCCAGTCCCAATCATAGAGCCTGCATACTATAAATTATCATGAAGATGGTGTTTTGGGTTGGGTATTCAAACGATACCAATCAAGTCGTATAAGCAATGGCGAAAGGATCAAGTGAAATGCAGGAGCAACAACAAATCTACTTACATAATTATTCATGTTTACGAATTACAATTTTAGGAAAACAGGGAAGAAGGCAATTTCCAAAATCAACCAGAAAAAGCATTCATGCACCGAATCTTAAATTAAAGAACGTCACCCGATGCAACCTCCGATCCAAACAGACCAGTTTCCCATGTCTTTACGTTACCCACTGGTGTATATATATATATATATATATGTATATATCTTATATATATGTAACGGCTCACGAATTCTAGTGACCAAGATTTCCCAATAACCGCTCAACCGCGGCATGAACATTACCTGCGGTGGCTGTCAGCGCTTGAAGATTCTCGCGAGTATCAAAGAACCCCATTTCTTGTAGTTGTGCGAGTTGTGTAGCATACAGTTCTTCCGGGGGAACTGGTATTTTCAAAAAACCGAAGCTATAAGATAATGGGTAAATGAATGGGGGTTAAAAAGGGTATTCCCCACCCTCTAGAGCGCCCCCACCGTCCCATGGTTATCAAGGGGACGTAAATCACGGATGCATCCCATTGCAGAGGGGCGGTACCCACACATATAGAGTACACCCACACCTCTACCACTAGGACAGATCAGCAGGGACAAATGAACGAGCATTAAATGCAATCGTAGTGAACAACTGAACATGTTACCGTTTGAATTGTTAGGTGTTGCAAAGCCGCCAGCTCCAAGCCCGCCAAACATGTTCATAAGCATATCCAATCCCATGTCAGGGGCACCTGCTATTCCGACAAAGAAATGAAAACTGGCTCAACTAGATTTCTAATATTGCAAATAGCCCCGGGTGATTGAGAAAAAAAAACAAGACAAAGAATACGCATTCATAAAGTATTTGTGTGTCTTTTTTCCTCTTTTTGGAGCTACTGATCTATTCCCTCCATGATCCATGCTAAGGAACAAGTCTTTTATTCTAGAAATGCAAACTTAGTGTTTTACACATTTAAATTTGGCATGAATTACATTACCAAACCAAACTAACCCAATATATCACATTCGAAAGTAGGGTCTGGAGGTGGGATGTATGCAAACCAGCCCTATACCCCAAAAGGTAGAGCGGTTGTTTCGATGAAGACCTCTAGCTTGTGAAAATGTGTGAGCAAATAGGTAAGGAAAAAACAAGATTAGTACATAGTAACCAACAAAAGAAGTTATAATTCAAACTCGCATATACGACTAACCAATTGAAACCAAATTGACCCAGTGAGATACGACTACCAGTAATAAGTACAATTTATTTGTTAGCCTTGTAGCTTTTCATTAATCAATCGCAATCCAACAAAGTAAACATTTTGTACAGAGGTGGTAATGTTTTCTTCTATTAAGATTTCTGTTATAACAACTCATCAGAGGCAGGTTCATTTGACAACTATAAATATTTGAGAGCTGCAAGAACCAATAGTTCATGATGAATATCTATCATCATGATAATGAAAATAATCTTCATGAATATTTAGGTATAATCATAATGAATAATCCATAAATAGTTGGTTCTCACAGTTCTCAAAATATTTACGTTTCTTATATGAACTTCCCCTATCTCGTTATATGTAAATGTGAATATCTGTAGAGTTGGCTTCTGATATTGATATCCAGACTCTTCACATGTATACAGTTCTGCCATACAAAGTATGATAAGATTGTGTAGTTGCGAGTTCTGAACTTACGACACGACTTGTCAACAATCTTGGTGCTACAATTATGTTGAACCTTATTATGAGGTGATATTTGTTGTTCTCGGGAGCATAATGGGGGCCTATATGACTATCATATTTCATAATTAAAGCGACAAGCCTTTGTGCAGCAATCCCATGTCATTAGAATAATCTGGAGGGTGCTACAAGCTTGATAAGCATGAGACCAAGTTGCAATGAACTGTAAGCAAACAGACATGAAAGTATGGATGTAAAGTTACCTGTCCCTGCACCAGTTTGACCTGCCTCCCTGCATACAAAAATTGCAATTTCGTATCAAACAATGAACTACATGACCCACTGATCAGCATATATGAACCCAATGTAAGGAATCATTCCAGAAAAGGTAGCCAATATATAGTTTAAAAGAGTCATATAAGAAAATATTTCTAATCCAATTACGCAATCTTCTATAGCTTGCATGTACTCTAAACATATGTAACTTCATTCATTACTTTACTTTAACCAAACCAAGCCAAATGGGCGAGTATATCCCAACCGGGGGTGGATGGGGGTGCACAAACCTGACCTCTACTCCAGAGAGCAATGTGGTTATTTCCATGAAGACCCGTAACTTGTGCTCATTACCTAAATTTATATGTTTCACATATACGAATAGCACCATCTCGGGCTTCTCCCTTCCAATTCTCACTTCTTACAAATGAGATTCCTTTCATATCAGCAACCTTTGCTTTTTACACTCGATCCAAATCCACACTTGAACATGCACAATCAAGCATTACTGACCAACCAAGACGGAACATATGTTTAAGGTGATTTACCGGGTGGGTGGTTGCCGACCAAGTTGAGAGAATAGAGATTGCTGCAGTGTCATCATTTGCTGTAATAAACATGCTAGGGTTAGGAAATGAGTGAATTAAAATAACATAAGATGAGCACTTAAAAGCTTAAATGCTCTGTATCTAAGAAGTGAGATGCATGCCGCTCGCACAATAATAAGAAAGACATATTAAAAGAGCATCTCAACCAAATTAATTAAAATAATGTTGTAAGACATCAAAAACTTCACTTGCAGGGTAAATAATGTGGTTCAAGCAAACACAGATGCAGAATTTCAAACTAAAGGATTTGCAAACCGCCAGTTTGTAGGTCTTCAAAATCCATTTTATGAAAAGAGTCCAATTATTCGATCTTTACATAGTCCTTAACAGATCTAATTTTCATCATACTTGTGGAGTTATACAAAATTGATTCGTAGAATTACCACCAGAAAAATGTATAAAAGATCATTAGGCCATGCAGGCTCACCTTCATAATTATGACCCATACAAAACCCCTTCCCTACAAGGGACTTTGGCCTAGCGGTATCCGGGTCACGTGTAGAGTCCAGTCAGGGGTTCAAACCTCAACAAAAGTGAGGATGGTGTGTGAGTTCTTTTGCCGTATATAAATATTATATACTTCAAAAGAAAAAAAAGAACCTTCCCAAACTGTAAGCTTCCTCCAAGGCATACAACTTTTTGGATGTAGATGGCGATATCTATAGAAATGGATCTTATATATATGCTATACTGAAGTACCACATGGGTGGATATATCGGAATCAAAGTCTGCCGAATCACTCATGTTATGGTCTTCTACCTCCCAAGTCTTCAAGTTCCATCATCTGGCTTTATGTTCTTCATGTAGCATTCATACCGAATGACTATGAAATTACATTGATACCTCTACATATTATGGGCAAGTAGGAGACATCTCTATTTTTCCCCAAGGAATCTTTAGAATTACCATTGTTTGGCTTTCAATTCACAACACACTAAATAGGTTGTATACAATATGTCTGACGTGGAAGTAGGCCAACATTTTTTAATGGATAATCATGGGTTTCCAAGTCTATGGCCAAGTACTTGTTACTTATTGGGTTGTCATTGCTATCTTATTCACTTTCTGTCTACAAATTTAAATATGACTAAGCAGTTATCACACCACTCATACGATAATAATTTAGAAGTTTTACTACTATAGCTTTATATCCAAAGAAAGCATAAAAGAATGCATATCGTTTTTTAATCCTAGAGACAGTTTGACCACCAAAATCAACAAGGACTCCCTTATTTGGAACAGGATTACAATGTTTAGATGGCAATTACAAAGACAAAAGTCTGATTCCTTTTGGACATTTAGCACATTTATGGGTCCCATTTAGATGGTGGGGAAGATGAAATGTTTTTGTGGGTTCTGATTTTAAACACAGAGGCCCACAAAACTATTGGAGAGTGGAGGGATATGGTGTAATGAACCAAACCTGAACAAGTTGAGTTCAACAGCTGCACCTAAATAATGATCAAGTAAAGTAAGTATGTCGTTATAGCCCATTTATAACTCTTGACATTGAACTCATTGAGACACAGATGAGACGTACAGGAAATTCACACATTGTAATTTTCAATCAAGAGAAAGAGAGGGCATACGATAGGTGCCAAGAAGAGTGATGAACTACCTATGATACAAAAGTGAACAGAATGGAAGATGTGCATTATGGGGTTACACCAAGGTTAGTCCTTATGTCTTTGCTTTAGCTATGGATGAGCCCAAGAACATGCAACATAAATCCACAAGCGAAACAAATGCGAAGTTGGAGGCACGAAGAAATGCCTTGGAATCTGAAGGCTTTACATTTAGCAGAAGTATAACAATGTATATCTTTTACAACTGTAGTGGTGTTGATAGGAAAGTGGAAGATGCAATGAGCATGTTCAAACATGCAGTAGTTAGGAAGACATCTTCCAATATGTGGATCAATATAATGAAAGACTCAGGATATCAATGAGGATGTTAGTAAGGCTGGGGTGGATCCATGGATGTAATAACGAGATGCTTCATTGTGTAAATGGAAATTACTCAAACTGAAACCCAAGTTATTGGGATAATGGTAGGACCTGTTATGATGTATTAGTAGGATGTTGGGCCAACAAAAGTCAGCATCTACACAAGACATATGTGGTAGAAATGTGAGTTGAGAGGTGAATGTCTAGACACACAATGAAGTATATGAATAAAATTATTACATGCTCAATATGCAATGGTCATCTTCAACATAGACCTTTGGATGTACAAGCTTAGGAGAGGTAGAGCTCTGTCATGATTGACAGGTGTCACATTAGATAGAGTTGAGTTGAATATACCACAGGAGTTGCCCAGAGGTATATTTGCATGGGAGAATGTTAAACATGTCTCTGAGCCCTAAGGAGTTCCCCTTTTATAATTTATATCAGATTCATTTTACCCTAACATGATTGACTTAGTATAGATGGCTTGCTGTTCTCTGTAGAGAATACTAAATGTACCATTAAAGCAAAGAGGAATAGACCTGTGATTATTAACTTAATAGGTATACTGCATTCAAACACCAAATTCATCTCCACCTCAAAATTAACTCTTAATTCCACACGCCCTGATTGTTTGAATCTTTTTACCTCATTTATTATTATTTGTTCGAATAATAATTGATCTTTTCACATGTCTAGTAAATATTAGCATCTTAGTAAATAAATTAAAATTATACTGTATAGTACGGCAATTCATATCCAAGTAGCCTAAACCTACCAGTTGCATGACAAATCCCTCATGCTAGTTCCATATCACATGCCTGGATTAGTAGTATCAAGGTAGCCTTAGTCATAGTACATGCAACATAGTAATCTCTGAGCATCAAAATCTGATGCAGTATTTAAATGTTAGACTTCCATGCACAGGACAAATTTTTCTTTCAAAACGTTTACAACATATCATATGATTTATATCTATGGTCTACGTGAGCAATTAGATATGTTGTATATCATAAGCCAAGCGCTAAGGAATACGACAGCAACAGCACCAGACAACTTTGTTGGACGTTTTTTTTCCTTTTTTGCACTTGGGTTACGAAAGAAATAAAGCACTACCAAGTCCCAACATTTCTTCTCCAGGATGTTCTATACGGGTATCCACTTCTATATTTTATAGACTGAAATAGATAACTTTCTTAACATACCCTCGAGGTATATTTTCAACCACAAAAAACTACCCTTCAAAATATCTCATCGTCATATTTCTTTAACACTTTGAACAATTCATAATGTTTTCAAGATGTATCTAGTATTGACTGTTAAGAAGCTTTCTTGTCAATTAGCTCAAATACATGTAGGTGGACTTGGAAAGCAAATAAAAGCTTTCCCCATCAAACATTCTATAGAAGCAAATTGAGCACAAATTACATATAGATGAACTCGAATGCCAGTAGAAAGGTGTGTAAAATCATAGTGAGAAGCTACATCAGGATTCAGGAATCCTATACCTTTTCAATGTAGGAAAAATATCTCATATATTTGCTCATTCAAATTCGTGCATGCAAATATATTCACAGAAGTGACAGTACTGTTAGCTGACGTACCTGCATAGTCTCTGGAGAAGTTAATTGGCGAACGAAGTCGGGATTTTGCATCATCTCTCTTAATTGGGGGTTCGATTCAAGCATGTTTCGCATCTGTGGATTGAGACCAAGTATCTAAACAATGAAATATTTTAGTAAGAACACAGCCTAAAAAACAAGAAAATCTGAAGTTAGAGGAGCAAGATGAACACCTGGTTCATATATTGTGGGTTTGAAAGGAGACTTTGCATCATCTGTGAAATAGCTGGATTTTGCATAAGCTGGCTCATTGAATTGGGATCAGGAGTGGTACCAAACAATCCCTCAAGACCTGGAGCACCAAGTCCTCCTAAACCACCAACTGGTGGGGACCTACCAGTCCCAGCAGGATTTGTTGCACTGGCATTTGTTTGGTTAGCTCCAGCTGCAAACCCACAATAAGTCTATCAGTATATATGAGCCTTTATCAGAATACATAAGAGTCAATAACGTTAATGACGTTGAGAGAAAAGGTTTGGGAACAAGAAAAAAGAACAATGGACGCTCACTTCGACTAGACATAAAGAATATGCATTACTTATGGTCTGTATGAAGCAACAAAAAATGTAAGCACGACTAATGGCACAAAGGGATGGAAGCAAACTTCCTTGAATGCATGCTAAAAATAGCAGTCACTATTCTGGACAGTCTTGGGTGCTTTGGACGGAATTCACCCCCATCTAAAGCTGTATATGAATCAGTTTTCATGCACATAGATGTTGAGTTTTATATATGAGTTGCAACTCTACACACGTATTTATCATTTATACGATTACACAAGATGGAATCGACATAGATTAGGATGGATTTCATTGACCACCTGTGTCACTGAAGCACATTAAAATTAAAAAAAATGTGAACTAAAACGCTTAGAAATATCACACGTAAAATATCTAGATTTAGCACAGCATAAACAAAAAATTTGCTACAAGAGGGAAAATCGAACAAGTGTCAACAGCATCCAAAAAATGAGGAATAATCGAAGCTTACCACCACCAGCAGTCCAAGGATTGGGAAGTGGATTGGTATTTGGAGCAGGAGAACCAGTAGTTGCCTCGACACCAGTGGTTGTAGGGTTAGCCACCTGTTCACGGACTGGCCCCCCCTGGGCACCCAAAAGAGCTGCAAACGGATTTGAGTTCAATTCATTCCTTGTATCACCACCTCCCATTGTGGTTGCATTCAGAAAAGGCTCCTGGACATTTTCATACATCCGCCTAAGCATGTTAAATCCTTCAGGAGAAGATTCAATATTACTCATTGCTCTGTCTGTGTTACGCATCATTTCACGCATGAGTTCAGGATTTCTTGCAGCCTCCATTGTTTGACGGAGGATTGCAGGATCATTTAGCATATGAGCAAGCTCTGGATTCCTATCAATGATTTCACGCATTTGGGGATTATTCATCATCATGTTACGCATAACATCTGGGTTGTTCAATAAATTCTGAACAAGAGGCAGATCCATGATTTCTCGCATCATGTTGGGGTTCTGAGTCAACTGTTGCTGCATTTGTTCCAATTCTGGAAGTCCAGCTCCAAACATGCCACCATTGCCTCCCAAACCACTCAAACCAAGTCCAGGAAATGGTGAAGCACCAATCCCAGCACCTATTGCCCCCCCTTCAACCGAGCCAACTTCCCTTGCAACAGGAGTAGTAGTATTTGCTCTGGTAGGGGTAACACCTGCTGGAGTGGATGTAGCAGGCACAAAACCACGTACTAGGTGAACAGTGTGCTCAGCCTCCAAACCTATAAACCACAAATAGAAAAAGATAGGATAATAAATCTTCCATAGTATATTAATATTGTATGATAGAAATTATGTTACTTATCATTATGAATAAATTATTTTAGATGCAAAAAGAGCCTGAGAATTACTTCTACCAAACAAATGAAACAGATGCATAGAAAAAGCATCAAATAAGTTAGCATCAAGGAGCATGGCAAACTTTGTTAACCAATTACAGGATTAGGGAATCATTTTGGTTTTCCTTGACAATTTCTACTACCATCGAGTTTTCTTTATGTTTCCAACAGAGACTAATTAGACTTGTACTTTCTTGTCTAGGACAGAAACATCCGTTTAAGAATGGTATCTTCAGATGCATGAGCTTAAATCACGTTAAAAGAACTGTCGTCCTCTAATTATGCAAATTGGGTATCCTCATGATCTATTTTCCATTTAATTTTCTATTGAACCCATTTTTTCTTAGAGCATGCAACTGTTGTCTATTTAATTCTGCTCTTATTTGCTTTTAACAGCGTTTTGATATGAAAATCCATCACCATCCAGCCTTCCTGACTAGTTTTAATGTCCCGATTTAATGCATGTACATCATTTGAAGAAATCTTCTCTAATGCTTTGTATGGCATTAAAGGCTACTTTTACCATCTCGCTAACAGATGAGACTTATAACAGCAGACTGCATAGCAAGAAGAAAACCTATAGAGACCAGGTAACTTCCATCTGCACCTACACACGCTTACATGTCCTCATCCAACAAATACAATCAACAAACAACTTGAAAAAACCTTTGAAGTTACAGAGCATATATCATCCTTTATATTCCGGGATCTAGGCAAACTTTAGAAGCATTTTATTAAAAATTTAGTACTTGATGATATCCTAGAAGAAGTGAAGTCAAGTCTAATGCCTATGGCAGTGGCTATAAGTAGCTCTCGAACTTTTTCATCATGTGATACATTAAATGCTTCAATGGTTATCATTTAATAAAGACGGCTGACATTGGTGCTGCATCTATCTTTTTAAATGACTTATTTAGTCATCAGTGATAACAAAGCTCATGACATTGAGAAAAGGTAAATCGATATATATAGTCATCAGGAGATAGGTAACCCACAATGGAAAAACCACATGTTCTTCAGTTCTCTCATCATAAGATAAGATAGAACAGCTACTAGTGGAAAGAATTAATGAAGTTAATAAGACACCCTTCTCTATAACTTCATAGATCTACCTAAACAGTTTATTTTTGCATTTTCGACCATTTTAACCCCTTTTGTCCATTCCAACCTAGTACCATCTTCTTCCAATGAACCCTATACTCCCCTGCTCACAGGAAAAGGAATAGCAAAAAGAAAACCCCAAACACTGGCTTTCAAGTCAAACATTTAAATGCAAAATTGTTTTGTATTGCTTTTTTTTTAGTTTTTGCATGAAAACTTATCAACAAATAATTTGACATCCAAGAACAAGGTGTTGCTGCTATAACTGGGATCAATTATAATATAAAAACTATAACATCTGGAGTTCTAGCAAATTTAATTACATCCCTGGCATGTCTGTATGATAGAACACTAGAAATATGATAACAGGACTGTATCTGTGATCAACAAATTGAATCCACTCAAATGGCAATGACACTGAAAACCTAACGTTTCTACGTAATCAGTGAGCATATAAACAATCAAGAACCGATGGTAAAATAAAATACCGTAGCTCTTAAGAGTCTGATCGTCCTTGAGAATACGGCCTTTATAAATCAATCGTTGTTGTGCCGCGGGGATGTCACAGTTCTGTTCCAGAACAGACTTGAACGACTCAACCGACGACTCAAGGGTCACCTGAACGGAGAATTTCGTGCCGTTTGAACACCGTACGTTAACGGTAACGGTTTCACCACCTTCAGCCTTGTTGGATTCAATACCTTCGGTCACAGCACCAGCACCAGCACCATCACCGCCTCCGCCGCCCATCCTATCCTCCCCTAATTTGGGAGGGGGTTTTTAGCAATTAAATCAATCAAAAAACAAGAAAATGGTTGTGTGAATCGAATTGAAGGAGCTATTAGATCGATCGATGAACTTATTCGAAAACCTGAATATCGACAATCCAAATGCTTTGAAAACTTGGGGAAGGAGGAACTCTCTGTTTCTGTGCGCAGTAGTTTCCGAAACGTAGACCGGTTGAGAGAAGACCCTTGCCTTTTTATTTATACAAAATCTTTAAAATAAACAAACCTGCACTGTTACTTAACATTCACTTAAATTCTTAAAAAATATTTTTATTAATAAAATATTGGTTATTAATTAAAAAGACAAAATACATAGAATAGCAATCTACTTTCATATTTTTTTTTATTATAGCATTGTAGTTTCAGTTTTTCTTATTACAGCAATGTACTTTCAAACTATTTTTTATTAGGACATTGTACTTTGAAAAATTTACTCATTATAGTATTTGGTAACCTTTTGATTTAAATTTACTTATTATATCAGGTTTTCAAGTCATCTCATTGTCCACGTAGGTTGTCCACATGTACTATAGTGATGTGACTTTCTTATTACAACATTATACTTTCAAAATTATTTTATCATAGCATCTACTAATTCTTATTAAACAACGTACTTTTAATTTTAATGTTTAGGTATTTTATATGTTATTTAATAAATATATTAAATGAATTAAAAAAATTTAAATTATTCATTAATATACCAATATTAATAAAACTAGCATAAGACAACTTATCTCGCTAATATTTTTGAAAAAAAAAATATGTGTTTTTTGAAAAAAGAAAATAAGAAGTGTTTTTTGATAAAAAGAAAAATAAGAATTGTTCTTTTTTTACCAAAAAAAATATTATCTTTTAAATAAAATATTATATTTGTTTAAAAACTTTACTTGACGTATAAATATCTTAAATTAATTAGATTTTTTGAATTTATCTTAAATTAATTAGATTTTTTGAATTATTTATTAATATAATAATATTAAAAAATTATAGATCACAATTTATTTCGTTAATATTTTAGAGAGAACTTTAAAAGATATGTATTTTTTTAAACAACATAAAATAAGAAGTGTTACTTTTTTTACAAACAAAATGTATCTCGAAAATAATGTATCGTATTTATTTAAGAAATATTTTACTCTAGAATATTTAATTTGCATGCAACTTAATAAGTCAAAAAAATTAAATGTTTTTTTTTAATTATAGCAATGAAAAACAAAAATCACTAATAATAATTTGAAATAAGTTTTTATTTTTATTTTAGTTAAGCCATCAAAATGATGTGTCATCCACATCATCTCATTAAAGTCACACAAGCAAAAAAAAGTCAAAGGGTTAACCGGTTTAAAAGATAACAGGTTACTCATTGCTATAATGGATAGATTTTTTAAAGTACGATGCTTTAATAAAAAAATAATTTGAAAGTACATTGCTGTAATAAAGAAAAATAAAAATAGAATGCTATAATAAGAAAATTTATGAAAGTAAGTTGTTATTTCATACATTTAACCTTAATTAAAATGATACTTCCAAATATATTTCAATTTTAATGTTTTATTTTATTTTTTGTTTACGTCGATATTATAAAATGATTTGAATAAAATATAAACTTTAATATATATCTTAAAATTTTGAAAAAAATTATAAATATTAATATCAAATTAACTATTTAAAAGTTCTCGTTTTTTTATAACTAGTTTACTTCAAAAAATTTATTATAATGTAATTTAGACTTAATAATGAAGTAATTTTTTTTTTAATAGTACAAGTTTTTATTGAAAAACAATAATTAAGTATTCTGTTATAACTCAATGATTTTTCTAATTATATTTTAGTTTTTTAATATTTACACTGAAATGTTTGTCCTTATTTTATTATGCTTATTTGATGTTAGTTACACATATTCAAACGTGGAAGTTCAATAAATTGAACTTACACACGATTTAATTGTAAATATGAATTTTAAGTAATATGTATCAATAAACAATACTTTATGCATAAAAATGATTTTTAAAAGTTATTATCAAATGTCTTATAATAATATAAAATATATACTAGAAACGTACTCGCGCAATGCAGCGAGATACAT